TAGCAGCTCAAGATCGACAAAAGAGCTATGCTGACAAGAAAAGACAACCGATATCATTCGAAGTTGGAGATTCAGTTTTACTTAAAGTGTCACCATGCAAGGGACTCATAAGATTTGGTAAGAGGTGAAAATTGAGTCCAAGTTTTATTAGACCGTTTAAAGTTCTTCAGAGGATTGAGAATCAAGCTTACAAGCTAGAATTACCAAAATAACTAGATGGTATTCATAATACCTTTCATGTATGTTATTAGAAAAAATTCACGAGAGATGTGCCCGACATAATTCCCATTTCTGAATTAAGGTTGGATGAGAACAAGAGGTTAATTGAAGAACCTGAGGCAATCGTTGACCGTAAGACTAAGAAGTTGCGATGCAAGATGGTTGATTTAGTGCTTGTGCGTTGGAAACATATGAATGGGCCAAATCTCACCTGGGAAAAACGAAGAGTGACATGATGATTTGCTACCCGTATTTGTTTGTTGATTTGTGATTCCGGGGACGGAATCATCCTAAGTGGGCGAGAATTGTAATGTTCGTGTTTCTAGGCTAGGCATTAATATTGATATGATAGTCTAGGTTAACCTTTGTGACTCATTTTGAATAAATGAAAAGGAATTATGTGAATATTATGTGTTTTATGTGTTTTATTAGGGTTTAATTAATTAAGAATAAAATTGAGCATCAAAAATAAATATTAGATAAAGCCGATATTTATTAAGAAACTTGTGGTGGTCATGACAAGGATTACGGATATATAAAGAATGTCGAAATCCGAGTTATAACGAAGAAGTTATGACCTGTCGAAGTTTCGCGACAAAACCGGCATGGTGCCGGATATCATAAAAAGTGAGTTTTTGATAAACTACTTTTAGCCTTGGTGATCTAAACAAAAGTCGTAGTGATAGTTAAACCAAGAGTATGTATAAAAAGAACGCCCAAATCTGACTTCATATGAGGAAGTTATGATTTTTCTAAGTTTCAGGTTAGTAGGAGACGGCTAAAAACTTGAATTTTAGATCGAGTGATTTTTTGCCTACACAACCTAAACAAGAATCTAAGGTCTCGTCATTAGCAGTACGACGGTAAAAGGTCTAACGAAAACGGACGTCGGATGAAGAAGTTATGAATTTTTAACGGATTTCCTGTCCCGGTGTGTTAAAAATAATAATATATAAATTAGAGTCAAAATTAGTCGACGATGTAACATCCAAAAATCACGACTAAAATTTTCTTTTTAAAACATTACTAAAACCATATTCATAAAAACCGTATCATAAATCATAACATAATTTTGTAGCAGTAATTCGAAATACAAACTTATTATCAGAGTAAAACATCCTAGGCTAGCTGACTATGGTGTGTGCACTGCAATCTTCCCGAGCCCCTCCTTTGAAAACTGTGTACCTGAAACCAAAAACTGAAACTGTGAGCACGAAGCTTAGCGAGCTCCCCCAAACTACCACATACCATATAATAACATGTAAAGCACATACTGGGCCTTGCCCACTGCATCGGACCGAGGTCCGGACTAACTGGGGCTTTGCCCCCTGCATCGGACCGAAGTCCAGAAACTAACTGGGACTTTGTCCCCTGCATCGGACCGAAGTCCGGACTAACTGGGGCCTTTCCCCCTGCATCGGACCGAAGTCCAGAAACTGACTGGACATAGCATGGCATAACATATCAACTAACATGAACACATATACTGCATACTGCATCGGGCCGTAGCCAGGAACACATAACACATAACACATAACACATAAATCCTGTCTGAGCCACGGAGGCATCAAACATACTAACTACTGCATCGGAACGAAGTCCGGAAACTACTGCTAACTGAACGGGCCGGCATTATGGCCTTAGACCCATTCCTACTGGAAGGAAACTCACCTGAACTGCTGAATTCTGCTGGTAACCCTCGGACTGCTAACCAACCACCGTCTGAAACGCTGCTCCTCTGACTCTCTGAGCTACCAATAATAAAGCAACGCTTAGCCTGACAGACCTCTAAAAGTCAACTAACTCAACTCTGATCAAAGTCAAAGTCCTGGCCAAAGTCAACCTTCCCTGTTGACCCTACTCGCCGAGTCAGCCTACTGACTCGCCGAGTTCACTGATTTCCGAGTTCTGTCCTGACCAACTCACTGAGTCCCTACTCAACTCACTAAACTGAGCCTTGACTCGAAGGGTTTGGGGTTTCGCGACTTGACTCGCCGAGTCCAAGAACAGACTCGCCGAGTCCAAGGCATTCTTCAATAGACTCGCCGAGTTGTTCATCCAACTCGTTGAGTTCGCCTCCATCTTCATACTACTCGCCGAGTCTATTCAGTCCTTAATCCATGCAGTGGCTTTTCGAGCCAAACAGGGCTTCCAACTCATAGATCCATACTTCTAAGGCCTATCCCTCACGTAAAGTGGCAAACTTTACGTGTAGATCAAGAGATCTAAGCTTAAAACAATCCAAACTAGGGTTTAAGACAAAGAGGCTTCACTATCAACCCAAAAGCAGATGCTTTATGACTTTCTAGGCCAAGATACACTCAGATCTGAAGTAGCAACTTCAGATCTGGGCTTCTTACACGAAATAACTCTTAAGCATGGCATAAAAGCTCCAAATCTCATAGCCAAGGTTGATCTATTAAGCAAAAGAGGGAAGGTAACGATTGATTACCTTTAAATGCTCAGAAATGTTCCACCAACTCTGGATCCAAGGCCCCCTTCTTGCTCCACTATCACTATCTTCTTTCTCAAGCTCCAAAAAGCTTCACCAAGGGTAGATCTTGCTCCAAAACGATTATGGTGGCTAGGGATTAGTGTTCTGAGCTAGAGAGGCAATAAAGGAACCCTAGGGGAGAGAATGAGACGATTAAATAAGCTCCAAGTCCCGGATTTAGGGTTTTCCTCGTTCAGACCAGACTCGCCGAGTCACCTTGGCCGACTCGCCGAGTCGGTTGCTTACTCCTCAACCCGGACCCTGCTCGGACTCGTCGAGTCCCTCCTTGGACTCGCCAAGTCTCCCCTTAAAATTGGGGTTTTCTTTCTTTTCTTGACTTTCCAAACTTTGGGTGTTACAGACGAAGTCTAAACAAAGTTGTAGAGCATAATTTTACCTGCGCGTGCATATAAAGAACATCAAAAACGGAGTTCGTATATGAAAATTATCGATTTTAGAAATTTACCCGACGATGTCTTCTTCGATCCTCGTTTGCTGCTAGGGAATTTCCAAAGCAATTTCGTTAGTTGGTTGTTCATATCGATCCTTTAGGCTAGATCTAGTAAGATCACTGTATAGGATCAGTATGTGGGGATCGACGTTGTTAGTGCTTATAATAAAAACCTTGGGCAGCGATGGACTTCGTGCCTATTCCTTAGGATGAATCCTTAGGAATGAGTGATAGTTGATTCTTAGGGTAAATCCTTAAGAAATGAATAAGACAATGGGGATTGGCTAAGTGGGTTGATTGTTTGATGTTTAAGTATAATAAATTTATTTATTGTGGGGTGAAAACCCTATATGCTCAGCAGTCTCCCAAGCCTGACCCACTCAGTTTAATTGTATCACAGGTATCGATACGAAGTTGCTTTACACTGAGAGATTAAAAAAAAGTAGATCAGTAGTGTAAATGAATTTAAGTTTTGTTTATGCTTATATTTTTGTATTGACAATGACATCCCAATGGTTTAAGTGAATAAAATACATTTCTTCGGAAATGATTTGATAACATATTTATCATATTTTTTTGGGAACAAATTCTGCAACACTTTTAATCAAATGATTACTCTGAAATTATTATAAAAGCATAAATTAAACCGGTCTTTTCTGGCCGTAAAATTGGGGATGTCACAGATAGATAATAATGTCAAGGGATTCCCCAACACTATATGTCAATAAGGCAACCGGGGAGGATACTCTACACTTGGTGAACACTTAGTTCAAAAACACCTACAGGTTATGAGGTTATCAGCTTTCCACTAAACTGTCTAGAATAGTCTATGGTCTACATATATACTCCGCTAGACGACTGGATCTTCTTCAAACCCAAGGGCTCTCATCATCTACTTCATCTTTCATCCATCATCATCTATATTATCTTTCATCTACCCTTCTTTTACCCAATATATTTATAGGTATAAAAATAAAGATTCACTTTAAAGCAAGTACAACATATATAAATTGTTCATCTAGCATAAACATTAGGAAAACAGATAATATACACGTATAGCATGCAATTATCTTAAATACTTAAAATCTATGTGTAAGATGAAAGTAAATATGCATTCACTTGTTAAAGTGAACGACTCGAAATTCGGGCAGAGTTTCCCTTCTAGGAACTGACCTTTCCTTTGGCGTGACCTTGTATCACTAACCCTAAGTCTTAGGCTAATATTCCTTATGAATAAAGATTGCCTAGATCCATCATTAATTCCAAAGTTTACTGGTCTATAGCTGATAAGAGACAACCAGGTATGATCATATTGGAGGTAAGATCCGTTTGGTATACAAGTATAACGTTTGGAAATCTCAATTTAAACACTTCACTAAATTCAGTCTAGACATCATCCCCGTAAGTAGATTAATATAACATAACACTAAATTAATAATCTCATTTAGTTTAGCTAAAACAACATTAAAACAATGAGGCTAGGCTTCGTCACTGTTAGTCACACAATATAAAATGCAAACAGAAAAGGATATACACATAATACAAAGAACCTAAGACGTAATGTTTTGAATGTTGATAAATTAGAATTCATGCTTTCAAATGATATCATGTCATATTTTCTATAAATAGATTATCTTTCGCCATCCATTGTCAAAAATAACACATACAAACAATAACTTGTTTTGTCAAACATTTCTGCTCTATTTATGAAACAAGAAATATTCAATTCTTGTGTACCAAAGATCAAGATAACATATAAAAAGACCATCCTATCACATAAAATCTTCTATAAATAACCAACAGGTACACATATCAACCCATCAATCTCTATCTACAATGGCAACAAGACATGCAATCGTCGCAGTACTTCTTTTTGTGATCAGCATAGCAACTCTTGTACAGGCTTCAACAGAAGTGGATTGTCCTAAGCAGATCAAACAACAATCTATGCAATACTGTCACATGTTCTTATCGAGGATTGAGACTACTACTGCCATGAAACAAGAAGAGCAAAAGCCACATGACTCACTTCTACAACGTTGTTGTCAACAACTTGGGAAGTTAGATGAGTCATGTCGATGCATGGAGATACGAGAATTTGTGCGTGTACAACAACAAGGAACTGTTTGGGATACTTCACGCATGAAGCGGCTATTGCAAGAAGCTCCAAATCTGCCAAAAATATGCAAATTAGGACCTACATTTTGTAAAATTTAATCAACCAGTCGGTTTATAACTACACTTGAATATGATGTTGTTTGTATGATCTGTTTAGTTGACAGATTAAATTAATTACACAAAACTATGTAAGTCATCTTGTCATTGACAAGACATGTTTGCTAAAATATATCAATAAACGAGTGACCAAAGTTTCATGTTAGGAATGTTTTTTATTGTTTAGTGAGAGCACTTACAATCATCAACCTGTAGTTCTTTTAGCATTATCAAACAAGAATCTATCAACTTAATTATTCTTTAATTACTGAACAGTTTTTTAAAACAAAATTTAATTACTTTATCATTATCTTTGTGTGAAATGTTTTATAAAGCCTCCTAATTTAATAAAATAAACGAAATAGTATAAAATCTAGAGTTTATATTTCACTTTAATCTTGTCAAAAAAACATTTAGTTATATGCTTTGAGGATTACAACCATATGATTATCACGAATTTAATATTTAATAGCGAAGATTATAGTGAAACAAACTATAAGTTAGTGAAAAAAAATTGAAAAGTTAAATATAATTAGAAAAACAAAATGAAAAACTAGTGAACAAATGATATTAATTATGCAAAACACAAACGTGTAACAAAAACAACCAGTATGGACCAAACGCGTAACAAAAACAAACAATATGAACCTTCCGAGTTAAAAAAATAAGTTAGGGACCAAACGTACAAATTACCCCAAACCATAAGAACAATTCGTGTAATTTACTCAAGCTAAAAAACATTTGGGAGAATAAGAGTATTTAATTTTGATATTTGACTAAATAAATTGTCATCTTTAATGGTAATATGTGTTGAATATGATCCGAACCAAATGCATGCATGAGATTTCTTTTTTGGTGACACTTTCCGGAAGTTGTCACTAGAGAATTTGGCAAGTTGTCATTAGGGATGAGCATTAGAACCATTGGAACTGGAACCAGAATCAGATTCAATAAAACGGTTCAGTTAACGGTTCTCCACTTATAACAAAACCAGTACCGGTTCGGTTCCACAAAAAACCAGTTTAAAAATTGGAACTGATTTTTAAAATTTCGTAACTCACTCATATGAAGTCAAAATTACTTGATTTTTTTTCTTTTTTTTTCATAATGTAATTTAGTGCTTTTATTCATTTTAGAATATAAAAAATATACTTTGGTTAAATATTGATTCATATACAAGCTCCGGAAGACAGCATAACAATGTTGCGTTTTTTTTTTTTATTATTTTATTATTATTTTTTTTTTATGTTTCAACATGTTTTTTTATTTTGTCTCAGTTTGTAAAATATTATAACTCACTAATATGAAGTCGGAATTACTTCATTTTTTTCCAACATGTAGTTTTGTGTTTGTACTTCATTTTACATCATAACAAATCATATTTTGGTTAAATATTGAATCAAATACAAACTCCAAAAGACACCATAACAAAGTTGCGCTTTTTCTATTTTAGCATTTTTTTTTTTATTTTGTTCCGGTTTTCAAAATATCATAACTCACTCATATGAAGTCGGAATTACTTGATATTTTCCAACATGTAATTTAGTGTTTGTGTTTCATTTTAAACTGTAAAATATCATATTTTGGTTAAATGTCTACTATAATAAAAGAAGATAAATTTGTCAAATGTCAATCTCTAATGACTTTTGACACTTATCATTTTGTCATATTTTTTCAATAAATAATATACACATGTTAATTTATGGTTTTTTTTTTCAATTCTTAAAATTAAAAAGCTACATAATATTTATACTTATATATGTAAAATATCAAATGTAATAAATATTATACTAAGTTGCAGTTAATATGTTTATTCAATACTTATTTCAAAATTTTATTTTAAAAGATACTTATTATTAATTTTTAATATATATTTTTTAATCAACCCGTGTAATACACTGGTTTTACACCTATTTAAATCATATACAAGTCCCCGAAGATAGCATATCAATGTTGCGTTTGTTTGTTTTGTTTCAACATGTTTTTTTAATTTGTTCCGGTTTTAAAATAATGTAACTCACTCATATGATGTCGGAACTACTTAATTTTTTTTCCAACATGTAATTTAGTGTTTGTACTTCATTTTAGATGTAAAAAGTCATAGTTTGGTTAAATATTGAAACCGATACAAGTCCGGAAAGACAACAAATAATGAAGCGTTTTTTCATTTTTTTAATATGAAAGTTTAATTGTCTTTTATTTTTAAAACAAAGTAAACTACATGTATGTATTACGAATTGTATCATCATTAGTTTCACCTTATTTATAACCGGTTCTTGTTAGGAAAAATAATCGAAAAAACGGGACCGGAACCGTAACTGGACCGGAACCGGCGGTTCGGTTCCTCGTTCTTATGATATTGCAATATCGGTTCTGATTCTGAACCGGTCTGATTCCATTTCCGTTTCGGTCCGGTTTCAAAGCTAATTCTTAGCTGTCATTAGGGATGAGCGTAGGCGGGTACCCGCCTCATTTGGCGAGAACCGGAACTGGCGGTTCCTAGAAAGTTAGAACCGGAACCGGAACCGGTCTAGGCAGTTCTTCAATTTTTGGAACCAGTCCCGGAACCGGCGGTTCCGGTTCCGGAAGCGGGTAACCCGGTTACATCAACTTTATTAAAAAATTTCAATAAAACTATAATTTATTTCGGTCGGAATCGAATAAATTCGGAACAAAAACGGACAAAATCGGACCAATATTTTCTAAATCGGTCAAAATAGCGCACACATATATTCATACTAGATACTAATATATATATATATATATATATATATATATATATATATATATATATATATATATCTTTATCTTTACTACTTATAAAAGAAATCTAACTATTTCTATAAATACATTGAATATAATAATATTATTTTTTTAAGACGTCCAAACTATTAAGCTTGAAGTACAACCCATTTATAATATAATAATATTAAAACTTTAACCCTATCATTTATCCCCTAAAAATCTCGTATCAAATTAATAGAAGAATTCATTTGCAAATTGAACCCGTCAATCTCAACACTTCAGCCATTTGAAGCGGTCAATGTCAACAATTTATAGAGGATCTCTTCTCTCACATTGGTAACAAGTCATCTCATAATATTTATCTTCGTAATCACTTCAAAGTAAGAAATATACACACACTCTCTCGAAGAACCCTAACCAGTAACCAAGACAGTATAACCATCACCACCACAGCCGCTCTGCCTCCTTCCGCCTTCAACCAATCACTATCACAACTACCGCCCTTCCTCTCACCCACGACATGAACTTTCTTTTGGAACATAACATTTTTCTTTAAGAAAATATCGTTGAAATAAGCTATTTGTCCCCACCGCTCTGCGCGGGTAACGGCTAGTGTATATATATATATATATATATATATATATATATATATATATATATATATATATATATATATATATATATATATATATATATATATATATACCGGTTCCGGTGGGTACCCAGCGGGTAGCGGTTCCTAAAAAATGAGAACCGGAACCGGAACCACTTAAGGCGGTTCCGTAACTTTAGGAACCGGAACCGGAACCGCTTAAGGTGGTTCCAGTTTCGGAACCGGCAGTTCCAAGGCGGTTCCAGTTCCGAAAGCAGGTACCCGGTTCCGATGCTCATCCCTAGCTGTCATGGCTTCTTTGCTCAATAAGGTTGTCTGTTTTTCTTGCTCTCTAAGTAGATTTCTATTAGGACTCTTTTTTAGTTCTTTTATATATATATATATATATATATATATATATATATATATATATATATATATATATATATATATATATATATATATATATATATATATAGGATATTAGATTGTATTTTTTTATTATCCTTTTCATTCATGTTGCACAACATTATAAGCCATTGTAATCCTTTTCAACATTGAGGATATTAGATTGTATTTTCTATTAGGATTATATCGTGTTCTTCCGAAGTGGTTTTACTCGTTTTTGGGTTTTCCACTATAAATTTAGTGTTCCGTTATTGGTTATTTACGTTTTTTATCATTACAAGTGGTATCATAGAGATTAAGATCAGAAACATTACATGTCGACTTTTGTCAATTTCATCAATCTGTGAGTCATTCGATCCAGCCACTCTATCGATCGTCTTGGTTGTTCTTGTAAGTCCCTAAATCACTTGACATATCAATCTGATCTACTTGATGGTGCGGAATCCCAATCAAGTGGATGATGCAAGATAGAATGGAGAAGAAGAAGAAGAAGAAGAAGAAGAAGAAGAAGACGAAGAAGAACTAGATGAATCTTCAATGTATTGATTATATGAATGATGATCCAACATAAGCTTCACACACATACACACACTTCTTCTCCTATACTTTCTCTCTTTAGAATATGATATGAAATGAATGAATGAATACACCTCTATAACGTCCCTCCCCTCCTAGACTAGACACTTCTATTTATACATATGGACTAAAAACCCAAGCCCATAACTCAAAGGATAGACTGAAAACACATGAGTTTTCGGTCCAAGCTACAAATAAACCCATGATAGTTTTGGGTCCTAGACCGAAAACCACAAATACATAGAAAAACAAAGTATAAACCATATTTTAGACCCAATAGTTCTTTACTTCTTGAATACTTCTTGAAGCCCTTTTATAGGTTTTCTTTTCTTTGAACCGTTGCATAAGTTTTGTTTTAAACCATCGGTTTAATTTTCTTCCTAAAGCCCATATATAAGCTGCCTTCTTTAATTGTGTCCTTTAAATTCCACATATCATCTTAAAAGGTGTTCTTATCTAAGCCTCATACAAAGTTTTTTTTTATTATTATTGTTTTTTCCTTAAAACATTTTTTTTTATCCATATATCGTCGTGTTTTTCCTTAAAGGTTTTAATAGAGCCTATTGTTTGATTTAATTAAAGCCAAATATTAAGCACTTTAATTTTGTTTTATTAAGCGATTAATACGAACCAATTACTCTATGGCTATCGTTAAATATGATCTTCCACCTTAGATCGTGGC